GCAGTTTTTAATATTTTACAATACACGCAGGAAAAGATGTATAATGATAAGGTTGTCATGGTAATACCAAAAGGTATACACTCAGGCAGTACAGGATCACATGAACCTCTGATACAAGGCAATTGATACATTCAAAGAAATTCTTGGATATGTGCAAAATTAAAACATTTTGATCGTGTTTCTAAGTTGTAATGAACTTATTTAAAAGCACGAAGAATACATTAAAAATGTAGTGTTTTGAATAGCTTCCTTTATTTTGGAAAAAATTGATAAAAACAATTTCTACGATTCTACTGACCTCGAAACCTGGACTTTTGTTGTAATAAACAGCACATAATTTTCTGTAATTTCTAGCACCAACATCTTTATCAGCGTCTTGCACCACAATATCTGATATTTCAAACAGCTTCAAAGGCAATGGCATCTTTTTATTTGAGCTCAGAGTTTTCAGTAACCCTGGTAACAATGTTGTCCTGGCAACCTGTTGATGCGGTCAACGTAATGCACATGTGAAATGCTAAATCATTTACTATAACAATAAAAGATTCCCTACAGTGCCATATTGGATGAAGGTTCTATTGTATTCTATGTGAGTACAAAGTAGTATGCAAAAGTAGAACACTGAATCCAATATGGCACTGGTGCTATGAGGAGTTTATTGTGTTGTAATGATAAATCAATATTTGCTTGGTATTGCCCTGGACCATGCATACACATATTGTTCTATTTTTATTTCAAAACATTCTGAATGCTAGAAATTTAATTTTGCAATTTTATGCAGGTTCTGGGCCACTGAAATAAAATTTTATTTAAATCAGTGACTGAAAGTAAGACTCCAATGATAACATCAAGGGTACATCCATAGATGGAATTACACTGTAGCCTCGCTATAACGAACTCTTTGGGGGACATACAATTAGTTTGTTATAGTGAAATGTTCATTATAATGAAGTACATAATACAATGTACATTGGGTTTGTTGTGAGCGGGAATAAGGAATTTTAAGCATTCATGCTTGACCCCTGAAGAAACAATAGAGGTTATTAGTATTTTAATTATTTCCATGGTTACACAACACACATGCAAATTGGATATTATTATGCAGAGTGAAGTTATACAAATTATTATACAAATTGGTCACCATGTTTTGACATCTGCCTTGGGAGAAACTGGAATTTTATAACCAAAGAAATTACCTGAAATTCTGCAGTTTTAGGGTTGCTTATATGCACAGCTTTTGTGTTTGCCAAATCCTTGTTTAGTTTGTCAGCAATATCTTCTCTTGAACACTGTGAATAAGAGGGAATCAATAAAATTTGTTTCACAATATATCCTAATATCTATAAAATAATTGTGATTACGATATACATTCATTACCACCATCAATAAATACAAAAATAATGTTACTTTCTTGTACTTTGAGCAAAAGAATGAGACGTCCACCAGTCGGCCATTTTGATTTAAATCAACAAATAAAGTGAGATGCATATTTTCAAATCTAGTGCAAATGGACAAGTACAAATGTCAGTTAGATGAGATTTGTATGACATCTTTCTTTCATCCTCTTCAGGAACAATGCTTTGAAGACTTAGTATCAATAATGTTTTAATATTTACTCATAAAAAAAAAAAAAAACATTTTTTGAAAGATTAATTATATTCTAAATGACAAAGCATTTCCACACCAAAGGAGTGATTCACCGCTTGAGAGGGCACAACATGTGCTGAAAATGTGCTGTTTTTATTCAACAAATTTGGCTCAAATGTCACTGTCCGCTTAAGCTTCATTACGTTTTACAATAAGAAGTTAGCAATTATAAAGTTGAAAAATAGATTTTAGGAAAGAACTCTTCCAACAAAATTAACCTGCAAATGCAGCATGATCCTGAAAAAGAAAAGAGCAACATTCTTCATTTCTCCTCTCCCGGAATTATTAATGGTCAATGTCATGCAATTAACCCCCCTAAATACTTACAAGTGCAAATGTCAGTGCCTCAGTAAATCCAGCTGCTGCTAAATCCTTCCTTAGTAGATCAGTTAATTTATTAATGGGGAATTGTTCACCTATAGTAGCACATTTTGGCAGGGTTTCTGTGATGTTATTGTAGCCATATGCTATCGCTGCGTCTTCATAGATGTCGCATGCATGTATAACATGTGCATTGACGTTAAGGACCGTAGATTATGAATCTACTTGTACAACTAAACGATGTGCAATGCTACAATAGAATAGCCAGTAAATATTCAATTTTAGAACCAAAAAAGTTGTATTCCTTATGGTATAATTTGAAAATTTTTCCTCAGACAAAAAAATTGAACATTGATTAATTAATGCTTTGAAATCATACATTAAAGCTGGATTTGGATCGATAAAACATCCTCTAAAACAGGAAGCAAAACATTTTCTTCATTCTACTGTAGGTGATACACATTTCAGTGAATGCAAATTGAGTTGCAAGTTGGAACTGATGGCACGATGATGAAAAACAACATTTTTTTGTCAACAAGTCACATTCAAAGACACTCCTTCAATTTTCTTGGACATATTCAGACAATTGCATAAACACTTGGTATACAACATGGTATACAACGTGGTTCTACTGGAATTTTATTCTTGTATCTCTCGGTAAATAATGATTACAAGCAAAGAAAGATATAAAATAACAAGCCACGCATGGCACAGTCCCCGTTAGTTATTTAATTCAAGGTTTATAGTTTTGTTTATAGTAATATAGCTGGAATGTAACCATGTCAGGAATATGATTATGATGATTGTTTAACATTAAAATGGTTGACATTTGTATCTGATTGTCAAACGAGTACTAATTACAGCATTAATTAAAACAAATTCAGTCATTTTGAATACATTTATATATCTATAACATGATATATAATGAATATATAAAATTTGAACATAATCAGACAAAGCATGTCAGAGATATGGGCATAGGGCACTAGAACCATATTCATTAAAACAAAATGGCCGCCAGTCAGCTATTTTGAATCTTATCTGAAAAACAAAATGACTTGCATCAAGGTCCCATAATGTCTAATGTATATACCAAGTTTAAACAAAATCCATCTGTAACAGCCAAGAAATGCTTGATTTTGATGATTTTTCACACAAAAATGGCCGCCATTCAGCCATCTTGAATCAGATCATGAAACAAATTGATGTGCATATGTATAATATTATGTATGTGTGAAGTTTGATTTTGATTGGTCCAGGCATGTCTAAGATACAGGTCTGGACACACCCACAGACGCGCGGATGCACAAGGGTCAACACATAAGTCCTCGTTTTTTTTGGACTGCGTCCAAACAGGGACTAACAAAGTTATCAACACAAAAGCAGTATAGAATAATAATGACCTCTGCTACATGTTGGTCATCTGATCACAGTACTGCCATCTATACATACAGTATGTGCTATTCATTGATAACTATCATATTACTACTGTATCATACTAAACTGAAATCTAAAACCACTGGGTTGCAAGCAAGGATATCATGCCTGGTTGGAGGAACTTCAACTTTGATGTTTTCACCATTGTCTATAACTTCAGACTTCAAACACATCCGGGTCAGTAACCGTGCCAGCGTATCTGCGCTCTCACTATATAAACAAAAAACAAATGTTACTCAAGCATGGTGAAGCATCCTTCAAAGTCAAGTACACTACGTCTAAGGCAATATTGCTGACAAGACTGTCGACAGTCAACTTGCTGACCTGAAAAACACTTTCCCATTTGGATATAATAAAAATAATGAAATTATTGCGTCTTTAGAAATACAAAGCTTCTGTCAACTGAAAATTATAAGATTAGTTATGATAACTACTACTTGAAATTTATTGAGTTTGTCTAAGCGCATTGCATGCTGGGTACAACCTCGTAGTGAGTTTGGTAAATAAAGTCTCCATCCATGCAAAAATTTGATTCCGATTTGAGTCCTCTTAATTTATAGTAGTACATGTAAGAGTGATGACCTGGTATATTACAAAGCCTAATACTACACTACAATAAAAAGAAAGCAAGCAAGTAGGTAAGCAAGTGTCACATATAAGACAGTATTTTATTTTCTTGATTGAAATTAGTTTTTTATCATCTTTTGAAGTCATCAACAATTTTCCTCATGAAAAAGGAATGTATGATTTGTTGGCTTACTAATTTATAGTGAGAGCAT